GCTGTTCGAAAATACAGTTGGGGACGCAGACCCAGCCTGAGAAAACAGTCAACATTTCGCAACGCCAGCGGTGCTTTCCCCGCAGAATTTGCTTTATCCAATCAGAAGCACTACCCAGATCTGGGTAGTAACACTTTGTCAGTATGGAATTTCTGCGCTCGTTTCTAATACGTCATTTTGCGGGGAAACCACCGATGGCGTCGCAAAATTTCGGCTCTTTTCTCAAACTAACGTAGACCCGGTGTTTTGGCCCATCTTTTCATGGAAAATTATAAAACCTTCGGCCCAAAAAGTGGTCGCGGTCGCTTACGACTGTAGGATTTCCTTTTAATAGTTCCGTGTGTCAACTGATTTGCTTATTTTTTCCCTCCCACTGAGAGATAAGAAACAGCAATGTAGCTCAGACGATGTTTTCCGAAGGTTTAAAATCTATTTTTCACCGAATTATTTATTGAATTATTCTTTTCCATACCACACCAGAAGTCTTAGATGCCCTGCCGTTGCTGGCGGTATGGGGTTTATGGGGTCCTTGGAGCGCATGCAGTAAGCAGAAGTACTGCCAGGAAGGACAACAGCATCGCCGCAGAATATGTATAACTCTCGAGGACTCCGCTCACTGCGTGGGTGTTTCCATGGAGGCACGAGACTGTCCAGCGGCCTCTTGTGTCCATGCATGTAAGCAGACAAACTTGAAGAAGATTAAAACGGGTTCAAATTGTGGGTTTTTGAAAACCTATCTGTTTTTCACAGTTAATTTTTGCTGTTTTTAACGTTAAATGGATGTAATACGTAATGCTTGGGAAGTATATTTGATGGAAAAGAAGCTGTGATTTTTTCGTTGAGTAAATTTTTCGTCAGTGTTAAGTTCCATAGCGCATAAGGAAGCGTAATTGGCGATAACCCCGCGACTGAGAACCTGAATTTCTCCAAGTTAGCCAAAAACGGTTCTTTTTATAAAAAATGGTAGTTAGCACAAGTTTAGGCCATTTAGGTTCTTAAATAGGTTCTTACTTTCTGAAGAGTATTTAGTGGTTCAGCTTATTCCTCACATAAAATCTGCATACCAAATTAGTAGTTATGTAAAAATGACCATAAAAAGAAGTTGAGCACTGACCTCAAGAACTTTGAAGTTCTACTTCAGAACATACCATAAATGTATTGAAATTGTACCAATAACAAATTTATTTGATTTTAAACATTGGTAGTTACATTGCAGTTGGAGTGATAAGGCACCTATGTCTCCAAAGAGACCTATCTTATTTGCTCAAGTGTGCGGAATTTTTTCATAGTTTTTAGAAAGTATCTAAATAAGAACTCGGTTTCAAAATAAGTTTAGGCTAAAAGGGTTCTCATTATTAAGAGGGGACTTAACTGGTAATTATTAACCTAACGCGGGTTCTTAAACTGATTCAGGTTCTTAGTTGCGGGGTTTTACTGTACTATTAAAATGAACTAGACGTGAGCCGTGACACAGCCCTATTTTAAACTTCTGTCTGTACCTGTTTCGAAAAGAAAAGTGATCAACGAAAGGAAAAATGTATCTCCGACCTTTTAAGGGCGTAAAATTCAGGCAAAGATACCATCGCTATGCTTGTTATGCTTCTTCTTAGACTTTCTAGCCTTAACGGCCACGGTGATACATGAGCCAACCCAGGCCAAAGGATACAGAGGTCACCTGTGCAACTATGCCTCTGTATGCGCGTTTAAGACTTCGAAATATTTGTTTCCCGCTGCAGAACTACGTCATTTTTTATCATCTTGGCGACTCCTATCATCAGTTAAATATAACGAATAATTTTCACCTTTGCAGACAGTACACCGCCCGTTCTCGCAGACCAATCACCGGCGCCCGCAACATCGTTTCTCGGTCAGGAGTGTAACGCCACAGTTAAATACTCGGCCAGCGGGAAATACAGTGACCTCATTCCTGGTGCCGTGTATCATCTATTCCCTTCCGCTAAGAAGATGCTAAAAAGTGGATTCTTTGCTGTACAGGTCCTACCAAAAATCCTAGAGAGAGAGTCTTCAATAACAAAGGTACCACTATACAAACAGAAGAAAATAATCAAGGCTCCACTGACTCTCCAAGACCGTATACAGCTATTTCGAGAAAGTTGCCGGAAAAAGTGCACGCGACAATCCCGAAAGGCATTGTGGGTGGTTTTAAGTTCACTGTTCCTTAAAGAAATCTGAAAAAATTGGTACGAAAGGCCGTGGAAATGTGTTTGCGAGTGCTAAAGGAAAGCAACAAAAGTAGATTCGACGGGTACAGTCGGCAGAAACAGTGTATTGATCATATCCCATATTACCTTTCGGGATTGTCGCGTGCACATTTTTCCGACAACCTTTCTCGAAATAGCTGTATTAGACTAGGCACCCAATGAGGGCATGTGGCTATTTACAGAAAACGGGGATGCAATTAATGGAATTTGTTTTCAACCCCAAAACACCTTGTATATTTTCTCAAACTGTGTTATTCCTTAAATTGAAGAAATAAGCAAGATCGTCGAAAAGGATTCTCGAAGCATCTTTTGAGGATCATGCCCAGGCGTTATTGTTTATACGGGCTCACATACCTAAACACTAATGGTAGAATAGTGAAACGTAGCCACAGAACTTTAGAAAACTTGTTAGTTACTTAATCAATATTCTGCCAATCACCTAGTCAGTCGCCATGGCAGCGTTTCCAACTGTCTGTTAGCTTGGCCAGACGGACAGGTGAACAATACGTCAGTCAGACAATTAGCCGGACATTCGGTTCGGTCGGCCAGTCAGTCAGTTAATCAGTTAGTCAGACAGTTGGTGAGCGGTTAGTCAGACAGTAAAACAATTAGTCCGTCATTCGGTCAGACAGTCGATCGATCAGTCAGTGAGTCAGTCAGTCAGTCAGTCAGACAGTCAGTTAGTCAGCCAGTCAGGTGGCCTGTCAGTCACTCAATCAGTAATGTCAATCAGTCAATTTCGTTAAACCATTCTAATCAGTGAGAAAGTGTAGGCCTTTTTCAGAAATACCATAATATTCTTTGTGGTCCCTCCAAAATGTTGCATAAGCATATATATTGTAAGTCCCAAGAGAAATTGAAAACAATGCTCGTGCAATATTTTGGGAGGACAACAAAAAGTATTACGGTATTTTTGAAAAAAGCCTGTTCTCACCATGACATTCAGTTAGGCAGTTAGTTAGCTATCAACAGTCAGCAATAATTGCCCAAGATAATTCAATGTGTCTATACCTCTCATTGACAGGTATGTTTTGAGCCTTTTGGCCTATGGTCCGTCTCAGCAGCACGAAAAGTGTTCCATCTTAACAGGGCCACCAGAGCATCCCTCAAGGAACTTAAATCAAGTCGTCTGGTTGGACTAGCTATATCTCTTCAATCCGACGGGACTTTATACGGGGTACTTTTGGCCACAGGAAGTCCCGGAGGACTCTACAGTTACGTTTATTACAGGAGATTTCGCGGAAGAAGCTTTCATGAAGAGATATCTTTTTAAATGACTAGCAATTTTTTTTCCTTACTCCCGCCGGGTCATTATATTTTTTACCTAGATGTGTCATTGATTGAAGCGTCTTTTTGTATCGCCTCCAAGAAATATCTTCGACCACAGTTTGTAAAAATAGCGTCGCAACGTAGGCGTACATACATCATCAAAGGTTGCGCACTATTTTTGTCTGTAATTCTGTCGCGAAAGGGCAAAATGGTTGGTGGCAGATTTCTTGGGAAATGAAAAATTTGAAGAACGAGAGAAAAACAAGACAACAACAACAACAAAAGCGGATTCTGAAAAAGACCCAGACCAAATAGAAGGACATCTAGGGAAAACAGCTATAGGACGAGAAAAGCAAATTCAGATAGTTGATTGCACAGTAATAGAAATAGCCTCTTTTCTGAGAAACGTGTAGGAGGACTTTGAACCAAATGCACCCTTCTGGGTCAAACTCTGATCCCTCCCCTATAAGTAAGCTTAAGTAGAACGCTATTCGCTATTCGAGTAAAGAGCTTCTTTGCCGACACACATGATTATGGCTGCTAATAAATGAACATTTTTATAAACTTTTGACAGTTTTTTTTGTTAAAAATGAAGTCAATTGTATTTCAGCATACCCAGCATTCAATTTACAATTTAAAACGTCCTCAACGTTGATGACATTATTTGTAACGACAAAATATAATAGTTTTTTGAATGTAAGGAATTTTTTGTCGGTAAAATGCATGATTGTGTGGTATCGTACGATTTGGTGTCAGTGTACTAGTAGTAACGTCATTGATTATTTTCACCGAGACATAATGCACCTTGTTTAATTCCCCCCCCCCCCCCCAAAAAAAAAAAAAAAAAAAATTCCATACCCTTTGTTTCCAATTTCTCCTGGGTATTACAAACCTCCCAGAGAAATCGAAGGCAATGCACTGATATGCAAACTTTTGGGGGTAAACAAGGTCCATTATGGTATCGTTCAAAATGGTCAATTTGTGTGTTTGCGTTCAGTGTTCCCTCAGTGTTATACATTGAGTCATTCATTTTGCAAGATTCAAAGACAATTTTTTAACGCCATATAACGGAGGGTGACTTAGAATTTTCTTCAAGCACGTTCGAGAAAAAATGAATGATTTGAAAGCGAAGTGAAAGACATGGAACTCGCGGTTGACGTCACAATGACCTTTTGGCCGAAAAAGTGGTGTTTAGCAATGAAATAAAAAAATAAAATAATAAGAAAAGAATAGAAACACACAAATAAAAAAAGGCGCGCGTTAAAATGTCTTGGAAAAGGTATAAAAGGTGGTAGTATAATTTATTTCATGTACTTTAAAATAGATTATATAATTTACAAAATCCAATTAAAGCAATCAAGAAAAGGCATCTACAACATGCACGCCACCAAGCATTGTCTTGATGATGCAGAGACTGGAGTGTCCTGGATGTGTAAAATGCTGAACGTTTGGAGCGCCTTAGATTTCTGATTCAATTATCCTAGTTGTAAAGAGAGGCGTTTACAATTGTCATAGCTCTACGACCTTTTCTTTCGATTGCCTCATGGGAATGATCAGAACGAGTTCTCTGCTCAAATCCAACATCTTGCGAAAAACCTTGAAACCAAACACGGTGAAGGTAAGGGAGGAGGCAAACAAAACCAACGTAAATAATAACAGCAGTACTAGAAGGAGGCTGTAAACCTGGCTTCTCGGCTCGTCAGTCACTTCCTCTGTTTCGTGTAGAATACTGTTAAAAAAACTGCTAGTTATTTTGATGACGTAGTAGAGAAATGGAATCTCTAGTAGCAGGAGAAAAAGGTTGATCAGTCCCAGGACAAGCACGCCCTTTTCACTGCCGCTTAGCATGTCGAAAACATTTCCAAATTGAAGCTGAAATTTAATATAAGAAGAGATGTTACCTACATGTACCAACTTTTCTATTACTGCATTTTTGTTTTCCTAGCAGTAAGCACGTGCACTCCTCACACATAGAGCTACAGCTGTAAATGACCTTTCCTTGCTCTTATTCATCCCGTGCGAGCCTTTTCAAAGCTCATGATTCGATAGAGCGCCTGTCCAGATCGCCGAAACGAGGCGACAAATTCTGGTTGGGATGTTAATGGAACACATGTTCCACTGGAAAATTCCCGGGAATAAGTTGAATTTTGAAAAAGTAGTCGTGTTTTCCCGTTGGAAATTTTTCCGGTGAAAAAGCATGTTCCATTTACTAGTTTTCACAAGGAATTACCACTTCCAGGCTATTCACGGCAATATATATTTGTACCATCATTTTGAATTTTGGAGACTAGATTATAAACGAATGGAACTTATGTCAAATGGAACACGTTCTTCACTCGATGGACCTTTGCATGGAAGTTTTCGAACGTTTTTGGCCCCTTATATCGTTAGTTTTTACTTATCTGATGTATGTCAAAATCACTAATTAAAAGCGAGTGAGAATGTTCTACCAACTGAGCTATGAAGCCACTGACGAATTTTCTATCAGTCATAAAAAACTGATGATAATGATAAAATTCCAATAATGCAAAATTAAAATAATAACCAACCTCATTAAAGGGCTTAAACCTCCTCTTGGTCACAAACTTAAAATGACATAATTCACAGGTGTCCTGATTACGCATGTTCAGCCACTTCTCCATGCAGAACTTGTGGACGAAACCGAGGCTACCCCTGCATTCACAGGGGCTAACAAGGAGTTC